ACTTACAATTGACCTGGAAATCTCTCTCCAAACCTTAACCAATACGGCACAAATCGGACAGTGTTCCATGGCGCCACTCTCTGCCTTATTCTCCCGGCGCAGATAACTCGAGTCATTTAACAATGCACCAATCTTAATCCTTAAAAACCACGGCTCATCCATATCCGGCGGGAATTAAGCATAAGCTATGACAATCAAAAGGGAAAAAAAGCCAGATCTCGCTCTCTTTGTCACCAGCCCCTTGGAGGCCCTTCCCTTGACACTAATGGTGCTACGGAGCCAAAGCTAGTATGTCGCGAACATATCAACCAAATCCCCTCCAACTTCACAGACATGCTTATAAAGATAAAGAGGGATTCCTTCAGTATAAGTCTTCAGCGCCTCATCTTAAAGTATAGTGATATTATCCATTTCTTGCCTGTGTAAATTCAAAAAGATTTCAAGCAATTTGTTCTCCACATATTTCTCTGATTCAACCCAGACTGAAAAAAACCCAGGTCAGACTACCTCTTTTAGACTCATGGCCTCTCTTGATAGTTGAACATTACCTTGGCACACAGGCTAATACAGAAGTTTGACTGAACAGATGAGAAGATGTCATGTAAAAGCTTGGCAAGATTATATCCGTGACTAAGTTGTCTAATTGCGATCTTTAAACTGACCCAAATGCTTTTCCGACGTTTTATTATGGTGCACATGTAATCGAAAATTCCCAAAGCCAGTGTAACCTTTGTGTCATTCAGGCATAAATCAACACATAGTTCAGTTCACAAGAGTTTAGAATGTATTTTTTGGTACCTTGCTACAAACTGGTACAAGAGTCTCAGATGAAAAATGACTACGGATGAGGCTACAAAGAACGGCCAAATATAACAACTACAAACTGATATCAAGTGAGTAATTGCAATAGGGAACTAGGTTAGTTAGCAGCTGCATGTTGTCATACACATTCCCATTTGAAAGCCTTACGAGATGATGGAAATCTGGGACCTCTTTGTGCTCTAAGTAATGGCTTGTCTCCTGGGCAAACAACACCTTTTTACATGGCAGTGGGAATGGTAAACATTTGCACTGAGGAAGCCCCTCAGTTTAACCCATCCTCCTCAATTCTTCTCAGTCCCTTTGTTCTGAGTTGTTATCAACGCAAGAAAACAAGAACAATAAAAGCAAAGACTAAAAAACAAGGCGCTTTCTATCTTTGGTTTGTTGTCCTTTGGCAATTGCAGGCTCTCGACATGTTTGGCACTTAAGCTGGCAGAAGAGGTGCACTATGCAATGCTCTGGGTCCCCGATGGGAGCAGAGCAGCGGGGTGGTTAGCATACATTTTGTTTGTTTCCAGACATTTATGATCATTCCTTAGTGAAGAAATTGTCCATGCAGTATCTGACATCTAAGAAGTTTAGATCTGAATGCACAAGTAGTAGTATGTATTGTATCATAGTAATTTGAATTAGGAAAAAACAAATAAATACATTTAATTAAAGCTACACTGTCACTCAAGTAAATCTAAGACACAATTCACCACATACATTTTTTAAGTTCCATGGTTAAAGGTGCACTGTGTAACTTTTCTATTGGAAGGTCCATTACCTACTTGTTTCTATGGATATGAATGTCATTGCTCTGCTTGGAATGTTCCACAGTGTGACATTAAACAGCTGTACTTTACATGTTTTCAATTACAGATGGTTTTATAGCTCGAAAATATCTAGAAAAATAGGCATTCTGACTGTGAGCGGGGGTCGCCTCTCCACAGATCTGACCTTTAACTTGGTCTGGTTTGGTCTGCATGAAGATAGAAAGGTACAGTACCAAACTGTGAAACATTCCAGACAAAGCAATAACATCTCATCAGAGAAAAGCATTTGACGGACCCTTCACCAGAAAAGTTACACAATGCACCTTTAAAATACCTACTAATCATTTCTTCTTCCAGTCCCACCAGCTAATTGTAATACAGACATTTATTTTTTGACAGTATGTTAAAACCTTGAAGTAGTCACAATGGGGGCCAATCCATCCAAAGGGCACCTTGAATGTCAGATTAAGAAATCTTGTATAACCGTAATCCAACATTGCTGGATTACATTATGGGAATTACAGGCTCAAGAACCACACATAATAGATTTTATGACTACTTATGCTAAAGAAATTTCCAGAGAGATAGTGTTCATAACTGAAAATGACACATTAACAAACTGAGCTGTGCGTCATGCTAAATCTGCTCATCTCCGCTAGCCCAACATACCCTTTAACCATGTAATTAGACAGTTGAGATGGTAATAGGGACGATTTCATTTGCTATGTCATTACATTTCTGAACGTGTAAGGATCTTTGGCCAATTCATTTAATAATTATGAACAGCTTCTCATTACTCTCTAGTGTGACCACCGCCGCTCGCTGACTTTTCAAACAAAGGCAGAAGATTCTGCCGAAGCCATTTTGTTAAATCCTTGCAGGAGAAAATTGCCGTCCATGGAGCACTAAGCCCGGAGATGGCCAGAGAAAAAAAGACTCCAATAAAGTAACCCAGGCTAATTGTAATTCCAAGCAGGCAGTTTGTTATCATCTATTGGTCAAAGGGAATGGACATGGCAGTGAAATAGCCTCTTGTGTTTACCAGCAATGTGTTCCACATTACACATTCAAGAGGCATGCATCCATTTTGCTGAAGATACAATCATGGGTGGTGTTAATGAAAAAAGAACTGCCTCGGAGAGCTCTCCCCACTTGTAATATTCTTCATGTACATCATTTCTAATTGTCTCCAATAATGAGATCCCACTACTAGTGGACCTGTCAGCATGCATTTTTACAGGCGCTGGATTTTTGCAGCCTGTAAAGTAATTACTGCTGGCAACCAATAGTCAGCAAATGCACTTTTCATTGTTCATTACTGTCCGATGTTGCAGAGGGGAACACTGACTTGATTGTAATGGTCACCATACTTTCTGACCTATACAGACATTGTCAGCTACGTCATTGCTAAATAGCTGCAATGAAAGAAGCTCCATTGGACATGTTCCATTCTCATTAGCATATAGTGTATGTTCTATTATCCCAGTCAAACTGTGAAGCATCTGGTTGAGTAAAAGGCAAAGACAAGCACATGTCTGGTCCGTACATCTCAAGACGCTGATTAAAATGGACAAGGGAAAAACTCATTCATAATCACATTTTTAAAAGTTAGGCTCTATTTTGTTGTCTATGTTCATTAAAGATACTTCCATGAGAGAGAGAGAAATGTAGAGAGCCTTACTAGGGCGAAAGAAAAATCGCATGTTATATGAGGCTAATCTAAATATAGCTTGCTTATCTAGAGCACTACATTGGTCAGAAGGAGGGAGAAAGCCATTTTCAGGGAAGTCCGTGTTCCTCCTTCATTCATGCAAAATTACCTTTGTGAGCCATTCTTACTTCTGGGGACCCACTGAGCCATCGCACCTGTGCATATGGTGTTCCCTCCTGCAGCTTCGTAAATACCCTCAGGTGAATATAGTAGACCATTTTAGCTCACCATCTTATTCCTCCACTCTATCTCTCCCTTATAGCCTCACTGGCAGCAGCTACCAACCACAATGACCCCTTTCATGACTTCTGCCAAGCAAATTTTTAAACCAACGGAAACATCAACATTAATTCACTGCTTAATGCTGAATAATGGATGACGCCCACGCGGAGATATGTAGATATGCACCTTGTACCTTTAGGAAACTAATTGCTACTATTCCTTTGCACATGTGAGACTCCACCACCCATCAGGCAAAAAAACGACAGGCAACCATCAGTCAATAATGATGCCTTAGCCAGAATCAAAAGATAGAATCTGCACTAAGAGCTTCCCTACATTAGCTGCTCAAGCCTGGACTTCAAAAGCAAGAATGGTGCACGGTGCTAGTCTGAAGACTGGGTAATACAAATAACATGCAACATAAAAGTAGACTCAGGAATACACCTCTGCTCAAGGCTATTTCGTTGGCTTCACAGAAAGGCGATGCTTCATGTTGGTGAATGGCATACTTAAATATATTGTTGTTATTGTCATCATTCAAATTCGAGCTCAGAATACCAAAGGAAATGAGAGGAACAGTAATTGTAGTCTTACAGACAACCATTCATTTCAATGTCAGTGTACAAGCATACACAGGACCAGGTCAAACTTGTATGCATATATATCTTAATATAAATAGTATTATAAGTAATTTTCATTTGAAGGTTCAAAAGCATAAGCATTTTCATTTTTTTGTTTATTGAACTAAAAACATCCTTACTCTTAGTGGGCTTACATCTCCACAGAAACCAAATCAGAAGTGCGGTTTTAGCTTTCAATGTCACCTCCAGAAAGTTACGTACTGAACCTTTAACTTACACGCAAGTAAAATAATTCTTTCTTTATTTCTTCAAAACATGGCAACTCATTAGTCTGTAACTAGTCTGACAACTAGGGATGCACTGATGCAGCTTTTTGTTCAGTTCTTATACCACTATCAATATTATTGCTTTAAGTATCTGCCGATATTCGATATCAACTGTACCAGTGAGGACAGACAACAGCATTTCCTTAAAACGAAACCATAAAATAAGACAAACCTGATCCAAATGCGTTATGTAGCTGTGGTTTATCTCTCAAGTAACTGCTGAACAATTTGGTCTAAATAAGCGTCCAAGCAAAAATAAATTGGGCCAACAACTTGTAAATAGTCTTATTACATCAATTTAAATGTCAAACCAGGAAATTGCCTGAACCAATATTTGGAAACAGATGTCCAATCCAGCGAATATTTCAGTATTGGCATTGATATCCGATACCAGTATCAGATCGGTGCATTCCTTTTGACCACAGCCCTGAATCCTTACTCATACTTGGCTCAACTCCACAAACCCAACTACTTTTCTAAGGAATCCCCAGCCTCACAAATCTCCACTGAAGTCAATGACCCTCTGTTATTTTGGCATGATAAAGCACTGGCCCTGCTTCACAGCGAGCTCTCTCCTTACCTTGCTCTGGCAGCTGGCACACATTAGGGGGCGCCGTCATGTTGAGCACATCGTTGACCGCCGTGTCGACGTAGTGGCCTCTCTGGACGTCGTGCTCGCTGTCTGTCTGGTCGCTCTCCTCGTGCCCGCTGTCCTTCAGGCTGTTTCCCTCCAGGTCTTTGAAGGTGGACGTGCTACATGGGGGCCAGCAGGGGGAGCAGAGGAGAGAGGGATATGTTGATTAACTGTCAAATAACATGGCGTCACACTAACTCAATCTCCTGTCTTCTTCAGAAATTGGATGTCTAAGTTGACAGGTTGCCATGCCCTCCCTGTGATGTTTGTACAGGCATTGACGCTGTATAAATCGAAAAGACAAGTTGGATGCTTCTTGGATTGAGTTGTTGAGGATTTGGTCGTTTGGCTTTAAACATTTTCAATAGTTTATAACAGATGTAAATTATTATGCATTTTGGCCTCAGGCAGGGTACCAATGACGCACAAAACTATTTACATTTATTCTGTATTGGCATAATTTTTCCCAAAACACGCTCAAGAATTGAACACTTACCAACCTCCTTGCATCCTAATTAGCCAATCACTCAACCGCACTGCACCCGCCTACTAATGATTTTACTGTTGATTATATAACTAATTTTGAATGAGGCGCAATTCCCACAAGATGAAAAACAAAATTGGGTACATGAGAATAAAAAGACAAGATATTTGCATACTTTGTACTAACTAAATTGTGCAAAACTGTTTAGAATTTTGGCCTTTTTTTGTTTTATTTTATGTTATATCTGCCATTGTAGCGCAAGATGTCGATTAAACCTTAAATTTATTTGTACAATCCAAAACACATGGAGAAAAAAAATCACACAAGGTAATTTTCCTAATTTGTGCACAAAAGGTGATGTACGCTACCAGTTGAAGTTTGGACACACCATCTCATTCAGTGTTTTAATTGTATATGTTTTTCACTTTTGACATTGTATACATACAGAGACATCAAATATATGAAGCAAGATATATGGAATTAAGTAGCAAAGACAAAATAAGTTAAATAACTACAATAATATGGGTATACAAAAATATTGATCGATATCGGGAGCTGCTGTATTGATATATCGCCAAGAGTAGTTTTTGGTATATTTTTTGTTACAGTGTTACAGTTTTGTTGCTTGTTCAGTGGAAGGAAACTAATTTATGCAACACATTTCACATTTTAATTGTTTTCATGATTAAAATGGGTGTGTTTCATATGAACTTTGCACAAGAAGTGGTTTAACAAAGACTTTTAGTATCACAGCCATGATTTAGACATTACTTTTTATTGAACTGTATTGAATTGATTTGAAATATAGCGTATCGAATCGAAAGCTCACTGTATGAGATATGTATGAATGTATCGTGGCCTACAGGGCTGGGTATCATTAAGAAGTTGGCGATACAATACATACCTCGATACATAGGCCACAATACGATGCATACCTCGATAGAGTGCTTCTTCGATTCAATACGATTCGATATATTACGGTTACGGTTCAGTACAAATAAAGGCTTAATCATGTCTGTGATACTATTTCTTTGTTAAACCACTTCTGCAAAATTAATATGCAACACACCCATTTTAATCATCAAAACAGTGAAAATGTCAAATGTGCTGCATAAACGAATTTCCTTCCTCTAAACAAGCAACAAAAAACACATGGCGATATATCAATACAGCAGCCCATGATAACGATTCTGTATCATCACATGAAACAATACAATATATCGATATTTCAATATTTTTGCACACCCCTAGTGGTCTATGTATCGGGGTATGTATTGTATCGGACACTTCTTAATGATACCCAGCCCTATACATTAGTACTACTTTTATATTCAAATTAGCCATCCTTTGTTTTATTGAAAAATATTTAGGAGAGTTTCTGATTTGCTACATAATTCCATACATCTTACTTCATATAATTGATGTCTTCTGTATGTATATCAAATGCGGGGAATTGTATAGAAAAAAAACAAAAAAACTGAATAACAGGGTGAGTCCAGACTTTTGACTGGTAGTGTAGGTGAGTTAACTCTTAGATCATGCATGTGTAAAATTCAATCACTTTTTACATTAAGCAAAACAGATTTCAAATAAATTCCCTTATTGTTGACTGTTTCGACTCCCTCCACATTTCTCCACACAAACTTATAATCTACTGTGAGGCTTTTTGATTGAAGTGACCCTTGGAGATAACTGCGTCTGCTCGGGTTGTTTTGGACAGGGAACAGACATTTTGGATGGATGCACCGAGCTTCAAGGACATCACATCGGACAAACAGGAAGCCCTCGCTCACAACAATCAAACAAATACTGCCGTAATCAGGAATTCCGAGGAAGATGGATGCAGGCGAGCTCTGGAAGCACACAAACGCAGCATCTGTCTTGTCTGGGACCCGCAGTCAATAAAGAGGCTGGTGCATGGGAGGGGGCGCCACAGTCAACAGCTGCAAAGGAACAGCGTGATTTCCCTTCATTTGATTTTCATCCCACTGGAACAAATTCTGCTTTACAAACAACGCTAAATAGGGTGAAGATTCAAACATGTGTTGTCGCCGTAGGAGGAAGAAGTATGGGATTTATCCATCTGTGTATATTGATAGACAGCATATTGGGTTTCGGAGAATGCAGGCGCACGTCAATAACATATGGAAATGAATGCTGCGTTTCTGCAACTCATTTACGGCCTGAAACTTGTACAGTGTACTGCAATGACTGTGCACATTGGCTGATGTATTTATTTGTTTTTGAAAGCGGCAATCAAAGCCCACTGACATTACAAAAGAAATGGCCCAGTCCTTTTTCCCATAGACTCAAATAATAACAGTTTACAGGCATGCCAGAAACTAACCAGTGATGTCCATACACATTTTTGTCCGTCTATAGTTTAGGTTTAGAGTTGCCTGAACAGATTTGAAATAAAAATTTTAAAGTTGGATCTCTCAATCTTTCAATTAATATTGTTTTTGTTTTGAAAATCTATGGGAAAAATGAATGGAATATTTACTAATTGAGTCACTGTTTAGCTGCATATGTTTTACGGCAGATGCCCTTCCTAATGCAAGAAACTAGCACAAAAAGACTTAACTTCTAGACTACTAAAAAACTGATGTATATGGCTGGCTTAATATTACATAATTAGTTTCAGTTTTTAACAAAATCTTGACATATTACATATTTTCTTTCTATTTCCTTTCTCCTCCACCTTTAAGATGCTCCCACTCTCATTTTAGCTTAAGCGAGGTCTATATATCTACAAAATCTCTACGCTTTCATATAGAATGGCGCAGGGGGTCCGGTGGGAGATTGAAGAGTGGCTAGAGTAAACAGAAGTGAGCAAACACACATTTGAAGGTGAAGACGGCCTGAAGGACACAGAGGAGCCAGCTTTAGCCGCATTCCCAGACCTTCCTCCGGTATGCTGCCAGGAGAAAGGAGCCTCTGCGGTGGAGCTAATGCCTCTCTGATGTTATCACTGTAATTGCACCTGTCCCGGACCCTGGCCTATGCAGCCGGATCCTGAGGGCCCCGCTTTGTAGTTGGCGCACACTTGAATGCTCTTTGTTTACATTAATGCGGATGAGAGGGGCGGATTCTTTTAAGGCACAGAAATTGCTATAATGGCCTTTCAAAAGAGCAAAGGACAGGCAGAGACAAGAGAGAGAGGGCTTTGTGGTTCTTGGCTGCAGGTAACAAGGGAGGACTGTGCTCTCAAGGTAGGGCTCAGTTACAGTGCAGTCTGCGGTTCTGGGAGTTATACTATGACCTCTTATCCTGCTCCTGACCTGCATTCCTCGGTTTTATCCTGTCAGACTAAGCCCACATTCACTATTTGATTTCCACTGATAACAGCCAACAGTTGAAAACATGCAGGAAGCCGTATTGGATTTGAAATCTAAAACTTGTGGGTTTGAAGTTTGGATGTTTGGTTTGTTTTGAAAACTCCAGGGTTGTGTAGGAGAGAGGAGAGGTGAAGTAGGTAAGTTAGGATGCCATGTTACGGTTTGTCAATACTGGGTTGGATTTGAGGGGAATGTGATCGATAAAAATAGTATTTTGTTAAAGGTAGGCTTTTGAAAATACAGCAGGGTAGAGGAAACAGGAGGAATAGCTTGGGTAATATTTGGGTTCTCGATGCCGCTAAATGTGGAGAAAACTGCACAGAATATACATGTTTCATAATCCATACTAGACTTTTAGTTTGTGCGTCTAGAAATCACTTTTACTCAACATGTATTATGAAAGTATCTGCTTTAAAAACTCTTTCTATAGTGGAATAGTTTCGATAGTAATGAATAGATGTATAGCAAAGCACCCTTTCACAGCAAATTAGAGTGGAATGATTTAGAGAAAATACCTAATTCATATTTTTCTGATACACATTGCTATTAGATTTGCAATTTATGTTTTAATAACAGATTCTGTTCAAAGTTCACATTTTAAACACATCCAGGTGAATTGACAAAAAGACCGAAATATGAATTGACAAACTAATACAAGTTTATACAGATCTAAACTACAGGGTTATCAGGTTTTGAGCAGAATAAAAACTGGATATTATGTTGTTTGCAACTTTAAATACCAAGCCTGTGTACTGCCTAACCTGACGAGACACCTATATAGGCTTATCTCACTGCACTTGTTTATGAAAACGTTCAAACTGCCTATCCTCACGAGACACACCTAAATCAACTCCACATCTGTTTCCCCGCTCTCTGCGCTCAGTTAATAAACACCATTATGCACTAGCAACAACTTCAGCTCTAAATATGAAATATGAAAGCCATTGCCTCATTTTACTGCGTTATAATTTGATAACACGTATTTTGGATGCAATACAGAGAGTTGCCTTTTAATCCCTCCCTGCGAGAAGTCCCCCGCCCTCTGCACCGTAGTAATTGAACTACATGCCGGAACACATGCAGGAGGGCATCATGTGTAACCGTAGCCTAATGAGATAAAAACAATTACAGATAACAATGGTAACAACGTTTCTAATCAAGACATACCTTTTAATGAGATGGGCTCTGCTGTTCACGTAGCTGGTGTCGATGGAGTAGTTCTCGGTCTGGAAGACAGAAGAGAAAGGGGGAAAGAAGAGAGGAAGGAAGGGAGGATAGAGAGGTCGTAGGGGGTAGTGGAATGGTGATAGAGGGAGAAAGGGGGGGGCAAAGAGAGAGAAAGAAAGGTGCTATTAATAATGGATCCGGCATCAAAATAATGTAAGCACTAATTGGCTTTCAGTTGAAGTGTTATTTTACACAGAGGCCCCAGTGAGCGGCGCATCACTAGGGGTTGTTCTATTTCAAAGCACACATGGGGAGAGGCTGACTGGGAGAGGGGAGGGCCACCGTATCCAGCGCTGGCTCCAGCTGATGTTTTTTTTTTGTTTTGTAAAGCATCTCTGAGTCAAATTTGGAACTTAAAATTATAATTTGAGAAAAAATACTGGTGGAAAATCAGTGAACCAACATCAACAAAAGTAAAAATGTACCTGATCATAGCAAACCAACATGACAAATAATAGTATGATAAAAGCACTGACAACATATTTTGGTGTATTAGTTTTAGAAGTTGCATGTGTCACTATGTAAATATAAGGACCATGCTAGTTTTATTAAGGCTAAAACACCATAGTTCTGTTTTTAATTATGATTTTTTTTTACAGTTTACCAACTGGATCGGGACAATATAGCCAAAAAAGAACTAAAACATTTTCAGTAGTGCAAAGAAAATGTAAATATTGATCCCAAATTATATATTATATGATTCGATATAGTAGCTACAGTGACAGGTCTACTTATTGCGACTACATATTTGATTTAGAGAAGCAGACAGGAACAGATCAACAAGGTGGTAATATACAATCAGCAAATTTTGTGGAAAACATTGGGCCATTTCTCATTATTTTAGTCTCAGCAAAATATCCATGGTCTTTTTATTCTTAGCGGCTGAAATGTTAAGACAGCAAACTTGGGTGACTGCTCACTGCTCGTCTCTGCTCCTCCTCCTCCATCTTTAAAATGCAGTCATTAGGGAAAACTTGACTATGATGCCACTGGAATGAAAAGTTTGGCTTTTTTCTTTTTTTTCGCTCTCTGAAATCTTCACTTTCACCATGTCGTAGAATATTAAAGGTTATGAATATTAAATAAATAAGTGTGAAGGAAGTAGATGAAATTAAGCGTGTACCAGGGGAATTTTAACTTTGCAATTGCAGATGAAACGGCTTTCGGAATATGCATGCGCTACATCTCTGACCCACATTAGACTGCGCAGTTCAAAGTACATGCTACATCCTTTTTTATTGCTCTACGAATTTCACCAGAAAAATCTCTACACATGGCTAGTATCGAGAAGTTTAAGGGTTCATAGGCCATCAAACCCACGGTGGGGAGTTTCCAGGTCGTGCAGTAAAATCGCCAGGATCTTACCCCTATCTGACAACTTTGATAAGATGCAGGTGTTTTCCGGCGCACGGAACTGCAAACGGTTGTGCTTAAAATTCCACAGCTTAGATAGTCTAACCTGATAAAAGCCACTGTCGATGGCTGACTTCCTTGGAAAGCTACAGTACCCGTATCAAAAGGGTTGTTCAGAAAGCCGTGATAAAGAAGGTTAATGCAGGCACAGAAGCAGAAAGGGTGATTATCCAGAGAAGTGAATAGGACAAGCCTTTGCAGTATTCACACTTAGTTGCTTGGATCTGAAGGAATTTCTATTACAAATATTAAGGTGCACTATGAAGCTTTTCCGGCCAAGGATTTGCCACTTTTTTTTGTCTCCAAGGAGATGCTATTGCTTTGCCTGGAATGTTCCAAAGTATGGTATTCAGTAGCAGACAATGCCACCAGGTCAAGTTTTAGGTCAGATCTGTGGAGAGGCGACATCGCTCAAAGTAAGAATGCATGTTATATAAAGTTTATTTGAACAATAAAAAAATGAATAAAATAGATAAGAATAGATAAACATAATGCCATCTCCATGGACACATGTAAAAAGTTACATATTGCATCTTAAATAAGGCACTTAAGGGAAACATTCATTTGTTAAGAACATGATAAGACAACAGCCTTACAAAATAAAAAATAGGAACTTTTGATCCCTTGCTCCAATACACAATCTATAAAACAGACTTTGTGACAATGATTGTACACACTTCAATTTAAGGAGATACAGGGCATACTTGACTTTTATTCTAACAAATGATGTTTTTCACATTCTTTAAACTGCGTATGCATAGGCCTTTAATAGAAATAAACTATCTATAGCTATACAGGATTATAGGCAGAGAAATGAAGCAGGAAATGCTTATATGTGCCTAATCCCAGTGTACTTCGAAGTCTTTGGAGATGAATCCAAATACATAAATAAGTCAAAGTGAGTGTGGCAGATCACAGCAGCGATGAGTGGTGTTTACCTCCAGCAAACAGCTCCAGTGGCCTGTTTGCATTTGATGAAAAATGTGCGAGAGTCATGGAAATATATGTCCCGCTTTGCTAGCAGTTTACTGTTTTATCTCGCCAGTTCAAAGATACAAGCGCTGGGAGGTGTTCGTAAAGGGGCATATTAGCGTAAAATTAATCGTTCTTTGACAGTCCGCCGGATATTTTTGCAGAGAGACGATTGAGTCTTAAGTCAAATTAGCTTAAAAAACGTCTTGCATTGATATCTGATTATGTCTATTAATTACAATGATCAATCACATTTCTTTTCACAAGGACGTTGTCAAGCAATTCGGCATCAAGTCTTTGGTCGAAATGCCAAATTGCTAGTTGTCAAGAACGCATTAAACTCCCATTTTAAGCTAATTTAAGATAATGCTATCAAAAGCGAGTTAATGAAAAACAATTGAAATGTATTACAGAGTGAACTTGCACTTCAAAGTTGTTAAATTGAAAAAGAAAATTGGTGACGCTATTTTCATTTGGTAAATTACGCTGAACTTGATTGCTTATTTGGCTAAATTTGAGGCTAGTTTTCAAAATATTATACTTTGTGCAACATGAGATGATTATAATTTATTTTTAGTTTATCTTTGTATGCGTTTTTGTCATTGATATCTTATTATGTCTGCATTGTTTTTAATAAAGCGCTCATTAGGATGCTTATAACTATAGTCCATCTCATCTCTATCACATTTAATTGCTGTCTCCCTCTGAACCTCCACAGCTGTAAACAACACGAGGGGTGCGTTCGCTAAATTATGTAGCCAAGTGTTTGCTCCGAAGGTTAGCATGCTTCCATCTTCCTTTTTGCCACTTAGCCCTAATTAAACCTTAACTCATTACTATAGAGAAGATTATTCACCAAAAAGAATTTAATTAACATTTGATTATTAGTCAGTAATATGCAGCACACACAGTTTGTACTCTTTGTATTACCCCCGACTCCTTTTGTTCCCATTCAGCTTAACTCCATTAAATATCAAAGGTAGCAGTGGGAGCAACATAGCACATTTCAGATTAACTGTTCATTAAAGATTAACATGTAATATTTCATTCATTTAGATGTTCTGCCACGTACAAGATGTGCACACGGGGTTTAGACTGATACACAGCAGGCTTGCATTGTCTGGAGTTTTTTTTTATTTTTTAAAGGTGATGAAACTATGAAACTTTTCTAGTGGAGGGTACAGCAACTCCTTGTCCAATAGAGATGGAAGTGCTTTGCCTGGATGTTCCACAGTAAGGCATTAAAAAGATCTGATCTGTAACTTGGCCTGGTGGTGTCATTTGTTGATCTCTGTCTCCATCCCCTATCTCATCTGGAGATAGGGGATGGAGACAAACAGATGTTGAACCCTGCACCAAAAAGAGTATCTTTAAGGTTAAGGAAAGGTTTAGAGTAAAAGCAAAGCAACTTATTTCAGGAATATGCTGTACTTTACTTGTATCCCTGTAAGTAACTTTGGATTTGTGTAAGAAAAAATTAAACAAACAAAGAAATATCCCAAATGTGAATATATTGACGCACTTAATTTCTAATAAACACAGTTTTTAAAAATGTCAATTACCTATTAAAAACAAAAAAATCTATTTGGTGACGTAGTATTCAGATTATTTTTGCTCCTGCACACATACATACACATACATACATACATACATACATACATACATACATACATACACACACATACATACATACATACATACATACATACATACATACATACATACACACATACATACACACACACATACATACATACATACACACATACATACATGCATACATACACACATACACATACATACATACACACATACATACATACATACACACACATACATACATACATACATACATACATACACATATACATACACACACACATACATACATACATACACATACATACACACACATACACACATACATACATACATACATACACACATACATACATACATACATACATACACATACATACATACACATACATACATACATACATACATATACATACACACATACATACATACATACATACACATATACACATACACACACACATACATACATACATACATACATACACACATATACATACATACATACATACATACACATATACATACATACATACATACACATATACATACATACATACATACATACACATATACATACACACATACATACATACATACATATACATACACACAAACATACATACATACATACACATATACATACACACATACATACATACACATATACATACACACAAACATACATTACATACATACATAAAAATAAACACATTATAAAGTACAGGCAAAACCAAGTCAAACAACTTCCTTCAAGAGCTCTTATACATCTTAATGCTATTCTAAGCTAGTGTATCGTAGAAACTCCGCACCGTGGCCCCCTATTTCTTCCGAGCACATGTTTTGGTGAAGAGTTCTACTTCTATAGTCCTGGTAAACAAGATTTAAGCTTCTTCTCCCTCTACGGTGGCTGCGCATGCTGAGAGACCCTAATGAAAATTCAAGGCATGAGTAACAAGGGGAAAACTTCATTTAAAAGAACATTTTTGTACTAGTGTCTTCTAGTGTAATGGGT